CCAGTACATTGTAAAAAAAAAAAAAAAGCCCCCAAACAAAGAAGAAACCTAGGACCAAAGCACCCCAGATTCAGCATCTTGATGCTGATGTATTATTCTGAAGAAACAGCATATTGAGGGGAAAAAAAAAGGAAGAAGCCAAGGAATCGGCCAGGTTTGAGGCCAAGAAAATGGAGGAAGCCCAGAAAAATGCCAAGAACAGACGGCCAAGAGATGAAGGCTGGCCTCTCTGAGAGCTTCTGAATCCAGTCAAAAATAAAATTTTCTAAGCATAACAAGTAAATAAAATCAGGCCTCAAAAAAAAAAAAGAAGAGAGAGAGAGAATATTATAAACAAGTGTATGCCAAAAAACCTAAACAAAAGATGTTTTTGTGTAGGAAATATGAATTATAAAAATTTTCTTAAGAATAAATTTTTTTAAATTATAGTAATAGCTGGGTGCTGTGACTCACACCTCTAATCCCAGCACTTTGGGAAGCCAAGGCAGAAGAATCACTTGAACCCAGGAGTTTAAGACTGCAGTCATTCAGGATTATGCCTCTGCACTCCACCCTGGGTGACAGAGTGAGACCCTGACTCTAAAAGAAATTTTGGGCAGTCAAAATGTTAGCCTTTAAAAAGGCCTAAGACCCAAAATTTTATTTGTTAGGTCTATCAAATTATCAAGAAAGGGATCATTTCTCTGTTATAAACATGTTTAAGGAACAGAAAGAGGTAGAAAACCTCCTTATCTTATAGAGTATTATAAGGTTAGTACCAGTAACAAAGAGCAAAAAAGACAAAAAGTTATAAATATGAAAATATGTGCGCACAACTAGCATTGTTTGCAAACGACAAGCTAATCCAAGTAGAAAATCTAAGCATATTAACTAAAAACCATTTATAATAACTAATAGGATCAATAAGGTGAAAACTTGACAAAGAAAAATGATCATTTTCTTGTACTGGTAATAACTGATTAGTAATTATAATAGACAAGATCTTATGCTCTCATTTTTTCTAGTCAATAGCATACTGTAAGTTTTCCCCAATGCAAAAAGATAAGAAAAATAAATCAAAAATCAAGAATTGAAGAGGGAGCCAGGTTTGGTAACTCTCACCTGTAATCTCAGCATTTCAGGAGGTCGATGTAGGGGGAATCGCTTGAGCCCAGTTTGAGACCAGCCTAGGCAACACAGTAAGACCTCATCTCTGCAACAATTTAAAAAATTAGCCAGGCATGATGGCGTGCGCCAGTAGTCCCAGCTACTCAGGAAGCTGAGGCAGAAGGATTGCCTGAGCCCAGAAAGTTAAGGCTGCAATGAGCAATGATCATGCCACTACGCTCTAGCCTGGGCAACAGAGTGAGACCCCCAACTCAAAAAGAAGAAGAATTGGAGAGCAAAATTTGGATGCCAAAACAAAATTGTTTTCCTGTCTAGAATATAAAAGAGAAACAACAGATAAATTGCTATAACTAACAAGAGTTCAACAAATCTGTAGATGAAGTCAGTTGTATGCCTTCTATATCAGCAGCAGACTAATATAACTTTTAAAGTATAACTTTTAAACTGTACCATTTTAAATGTACAGCAAGCCTAGGCAACATAGTGAGACTCTGTCTCTACAAAAAAATCAAGAGTGATGGCATGTGCCTGTAGTCCCAGTTGAGGTGGGAGGATCACTTGAGCCCAAGAATTGGAGGCTGTGGTGAGCCGTGATCATGCCACTGCACTCCAGCCTGGTCAATACGGTGAGACCCTTGACTCCAAAATAAAAGGGGGGGTGCAACAAAATAAATGGAGAGATATGTCATGTTTCTGACGAGACACTTAATATAAAAATGTCGGGATTCCTCAATTTCAGCAAGATTCTCAGTAAGAGAATCTGTTAATTCAATTTCAGTAAGATTCTCAACAAGCTAATTTATAGAACTTGACAAACTAATTCTAATGTGTCTATGAAAAAAAGAAAAGGAATAACCAAGACAAGTTTTGAAGAACAACAAACTGGAAGGACTCACACTACTATAATACTGTAGCAATTAAGACAACATGGAATATTAGCACCAAGAAAAACAAACGAACCTATGGAATCGGATAGAAAGACCAGCACTAAAGCCAGACACCTATTGAAACACAGATTATGTGAGCGATGTTTCAAATAAGCAGGTAAAGATGTACTGTTTGATAAATAATGTTGGTAAAATTGGTTACCTATACAGAAAAAGATAAACGCATATTTTTACCTTATGTCAAAGATGAAAATAAGTTCCAGGCTAAAGAGTTATTGTGAAAAACAAAACTTTCGCGTCTTTAGTAGAATATAGAAGAGAATGTCTTTAGGACCTAGAATAAGGAAGGATTTTTTAAAACAAGATGCAAAAAACATAGAGAAAAAAACTATACATTCGGCCACATTGAAATGGAAAACTTAGATTCACCAAAATATGCCATGAGTAAAGCTAGAGACAAGCCACAGACTGTTATATACTTGTAATGCATGTAACTAGCAAAGGATTAATATAAAGGCTATCTACAGCACCCTGCAAATGAACAAGACAGCCCATGAGTCAACAAGCAAAAATATGAGCATGCAATTCAACAGAAGTCTAAATTCTCAACCCACTAAATCATTTTAAAACCAAATGAAAACAGCAGTGAAATATCATTTCATATCCATCATAGGATGTGAGCAACAATATTTTTTAAAATTCACTAACACCAAGAGTTGATAAGTCTGTAAAGTAGTGACATTTCTCCTACACTGATGATGAGAGTCTAAATTGGACAGACACTTGGAGAACATGGAATATTGAGTAAAAATGAAGACACATGTACCTTCTGCTGGCAATTCCACTCCTAAGCAAATACCCACGATGGAGACCTCCATATTTACAGCAGCATTAGTAGTAATAGCCAAAAGAAAAACCTAAATGTCCCTTAATAGGAGAGTGGATTTTTGTAATGGTATGCTCACAAAGCATACTCTTGTACAGTAGTGAAGGTGAATGAGCTAGAGTTCTAATACATCCAAAGGGCTAGCTCTCAAAAACTTCACATGGACTGCAAAAAGAGTACATTTTCAGAAAGATTACATTTTGCTACAGTTTAAAGTTTTAAAACATTGAAGAGGCCAGTTGCAGTGGCTCACTGCCTGTAATCACAACATTTTGGGAGACCGAGGCAAAAGGATTGCTTAAGCCCAGGAGTTTGAGACTGGCCTGGGAGACAGTGAAACCCCATCTCTACCAAAAAAAAAAAAAAAAAAATCACCCAGGTGTGGTGGTGGTGCATGCCTGTAGTCCTAGCTACTTGAGAGAAATCGAGGCGGGGAGATCACTCGAGCCCAGGAGGTCGAGGCTGCAGTGAACTATGGTCATGCCACCGCCTTCCAACCTGACAGAGCAAGACCCTGACTCTAAAAAAATAAAAATAATTAAAATATTCCAAATAATACTGGCTGGGTACAGTGGCTCACACCTATCCTCCTAGCACTTTGGGAGACTGAGGCAGGGGGATTGCTTGAGCCTAGGAGTTCGAATCTAGCCTGGGCAATACAGCAAGACCTCATCTCTACAAAAACAAATTTTGAAAACTTAGTCGGGTGTGGCGCCGCATGCCTCAGTCTCGGCTACCCAGGAGGCTGAGACAGGAGGATTCCTTGAGTCCAGGATGTCGAGACTGCAGTGAGCTGTGATTATGCCACTGCCCTCCAGCCCGGAGACAGAGAGAGACCCCCAACTCAAAAAATATATATGTGTGTGTTTACATATTAAGTGAATGTATCACAGTATTCAGGGAACATCAAGTTCATGTGAGTAATTCGCTCTGGGGAAGGAGAGGGAAGGGGGTGAGGAAGGATGTGGGAGAGCTTCCACGCCTGTAGGACTGGCTGCATGGGTGTGGGCTCTCCGTCTCCCCTCCAGGTGTGCCACGGGCGAGGCCTGGCAGGACATCATGCTGGCCTGCATGCCAGGCAAGAAGTGTGCCCCGGAGTCCGAGCCCAGCAACAGCACAGAAGGGGAGACGCCATGTGGCAGCAGTTTCGCCGTCTTCTATTTCATCAGCTTCTACATGCTCTGTGCCTTCCTGGTAAGCCAAGGGGGGACCCGTCGCCACAGGCCATGAGCGCGCACTTCCAGGGTGGCCTGGGCCCCAGTCCCTGCGGCCTACGGTCAGAGTAACCCCAGCAGAAGAGGTGACTCAAAAGTTAGCAGGAGTGCCCAGCCATGCTGGGATCAGGGTAGAGAGCCCTGGGCCAGAGTGAACCCTGCCACGTCTTGGCTCTTGTCACGGTGGCGTCATGCCAGAGAGCAAAGGGGACATGTGAAGACCTAGAGGGAGCTTATTTTGCTTTTAATTTTTTAACTGTAAAGGTGTGGGATACCATTCAGGGTTAGAAAGACAAATGTTCATTATGCAGGTACCCTTGTAGATGAGGTCCTCCCCTCCCCCGTCCCCCGGAGATTGCCATCACTGCCAATCTTTTTCTTACAGTATTATAATAATTGTTCAAGGTCCGCTTATGAGTGAGAACATGTGATACTTAGTCCTTTGTTTCGCTCAGTGTTATAGGCTCTAAGTCCATCCAGGTTGCTGTGAAGGAACTTACATTTTTTGACACCTTGCTTAGGAGTGGCAAAGGGGGTAAAGTCCCTGACACCCCCATCTGGGCACCCCTGCACAGCAGCTCGGAATGAGGGAAGCTGTCCTGCCCGTGCGTGGGTTTATCCCACACCTCTCTCAAGGACACTGTCAAGCTTATATCCAAGAGACCCATGTTCTGAGGCTGGTAGGACATATTGCTGGCTTCTGCCGGGCATGGGCACTGGCTGGCAGGTGTGTAGGAAGGTCATCTCAGAGCATGTCATTGTACGAACTGTTCTCTGCAGATCATCAACCTCTTTGTGGCTGTCATCATGGACAACTTTGACTACCTGACAAGGGACTGGTCCATCCTGGGTCCCCACCACCTGGATGAGTTTAAAAGGATCTGGGCAGAGTATGACCCTGAAGCCAAGTGAGTTCCCAGGGAGAAGTCCCAATTGACTCCCCAAGCCAAGAGAGGGTATGACCGACCCCGCCTGCAGGAGAGGCTCAGGATGGATTGAAAGTGGGTAGATCCATCCACTAGAAACACTGAACTGCACCCAGGGTGCAGGGTCAAGAGTTAAGAGTCAGAGGCCAGCAGAGGAGACCAGGCACCTTTGACTAAGTTGAGAATATGTCTGTTCTATTCACTTGATTGAAAGGGTGGGACAACCTAGTATCGGGAAGAACTATTAAGTGCTCAAGTTAGGATAACTAGAGCCAGGAAGATACTGACTCCACTCCTGCCTCTAGTCTAAGGATACCCTCATGAATCGATCATATTTTAATTGACACTTAGCAACACTTTTGTGTCGGGTGGTTGGTTGATTGAATCAGTATGTACATATTGAGAATTCAGTTGTGCTACTAAAAGCCCTTCCACCTCGAACATAGCACAGACAGAAATCTTCTTTAAAATCTAAATATGTGAGCCGGGCTCGGTGGCTCAGCCTGTAATCCCGCGCCTTTGGGAGGCTGAGGTGAGTGGATTGCCTGAGCCTGCGGGTTCGAGACCCGCCTGGGCAGCGAGACCTCATCTCTACAATAAATTGAAAAAAAAAATTCAGCCGGGCGTGGTAGCGCATGCCTGTAATTCCGGCTACTTGGAAGGCTGAGGTGGAAGGATCACTGGAGCCCAGCAGGTTGAGGCTGCCGTGGCCGGAAACGGCCACTGCACTCCAGTCTGGGC